TTTTCATCTACTCATTTTTTGTGGTTTATCTTAAGATGACCAGCTAGAAATTGCACTTACTTCGGGAAATAAAATTTTCTGCTTATTTACAAGAAGCTTATATTTTTATCTTATATTTTCATATCTTATATATTTTTCGGCGTTGAAATAAAGCCTCCTCTTGCGACTTTGGACTGTTTCTGTAACATTGTATAACATAGTTTATTTCATTTCTAACTAAAAACCCTGAAATTTATCTAATCCAAATTATTATCCCTGCGATAGGATTAGTATTTTTTTGCTTAATCTTTAAGCGCCTAGTTTTTAGGCGTTTGGCTTAGTTTTATATCAACTATATAAGACTTATTTTTCATTTTATTCAGTTGTATTCGGGTGAAATCAAACGAAAATGGAAGAAAAAAGTTCATTAAAAGTTTTGATAACTTCAATGATTGGGTAAGTAAATGCTAAGTCTTTGATTAATTTATTCGTCTATTAAATTTTTCCTCTATTTTCTCAGCATTGGCCATTTGAATGCATGCATTGGAATTGGTTCGCTTCTCCGTAAACGCGGTCACCAAGTTTACTATGCCTATTTTGATGAATACAAGGAAACTATTGAAAAGAATGGATTTCATTACATCTCATTGTGTGAATACAATGATAAAAATTATCCCATGAAGACTGGAATGCCACCCAATCTTACTGAAGTATTTGAAAAACAGTTTGAGAAGACTCGTAGACTTTCAAGTTTGGACATTTTGAAGGAGTCTGTGAAACCTGGGTCCGGTGATGATGAGGTGTGTGCTTTCATATTTGAATCTGCTAAAGGTGAGAACTGTGCAATGTTGAACATCATTGAGAAGATAAAGCCCGATGTCTGTTTAGCTGATTATCTTTTATCTATGCCTTGGATGGTCAAAGCTTCATGTCCAGCGATTCCTATTATATCGTCATCACCGCTTGATCTGTATAGTGGTCCGCCAGCAGGCTCTGGATATTCAGTACATGATCCACCTGAACTTTGGTCTGAGTACCGTAAGTTGAAGGAAGAGTTTGAAAAGAATTTTGAAGTAAAAGCAAAGGAATTGTACACATTGTTTGATGTTGAATTCAAATCACAGCTTTATGCAAAGCAGCTAGGAATTTACATTTTCCCTGGTCCATTGGATTATCATGAATTGGGTCCACCAAAAGAAAACTGGGTTCGTCTTGACTCATCCATTCGAGCACCAGAAACACCGAACTTTGAAATACCAGAGAAACTTAAAGATAAACCAGGAAAATTGATTTATGTCTCAATGGGATCACTGGCTTCATCTGTAACTGAATTACTAACCATGATATTAAATTCATTGGCTAACTCACCTCATCGTTTCATCGTGTCGACTGGCATTAATGGTGATTCAATAAAACTGCACGATAACATGTGGGGAGAGAAATTTATCAATCAACTTGCTCTTTTACCCAAAGTGGATTTATTCATAACTCATGGAGGAACCAATTCTTTGATTGAAGGACTAGCTGTTGGTAAACCATTAATAGTCATTCCTCAATTCGGTGACCAACTAGATAATGCACAACGAATAGCTGATCTTGGTTTAGGTGTGAGGATAAACTTGCATGAATTTAGTGATGAGAAGCTACTGAAAGCCATTGAAGATGTGCTCAATAATAAAGAGATTCATTCAAATGTCGCTCGAGTGAGGGAAGAGCTGGAAAAATCTGATTCAAGAGATAAAGTCATTTCTCTTATTGAACAACTGGCTCGAACCAGAATATCACCAATTTAACAAGTCATTTGCACTCATTTTGTAACTGTTACTTAATAAAACCCATTAATGTGAAGCTAATCAATTAACTTCACTTTCTAATCACTCCTTAAACTTACCAATGGATTCCCTCATTTATTGTAACCTTGATTTTTCCATCAGCCAAAATTAAATCATTGAATCATTTTTTGCTTTTTACAGATCAAATAAGTTAGTTAATTCAGTCTATTTTTATAAGTTTATTAACCCGAACTTCCGATTGAATTAAGCGTCGAGTTCAAACATATTATAATATTTCAACTCAAAAAAATCAGAAAACTCAATTTGAGTGAAACCAACCAATTTTTTGATTAAAATCTGACAAACTTCGCCTTGATTTGATAAAGTCAAAGGTTCGGCCTGTAAATCATTCAGTCATGATTTGAATAAAATGAAATTAATCACAAAACATGCCAGATTTGCTTTTACAATAAACAAATGATCAACAATTCAAATAGCAAAATCACTCAAAATCTGTTTAAATCAAATGATCTATCAGTCTTATGAAAAAATAATCAAGTTGGTTGATCATTAAACTCGGACCAAGAATTGACAATTCATTATCTTTCATTCATAAGTGCCGTGACGACTTTTTCAATGCTATTGTTTAACGATAATTTGGACTTCTTCAGGTGAAAATCTTCCATTACGTCAATTGTCTCATCTTTAATTTTTATTAATGAAATCAAATCAATTTGTCCTTTTATTCATTCAATCCTTTTGTTGTCAATTTGATTGTACTTTCATTGCTCTTCTAGTATTTAACGGTTCAAATTGATTATCAATATTGTTGGGTTCAATTTTAAGATGTCATTCAATTGATTTTCTGGAAACAATCAAAATTGTTAATTAAAGGATTGTTTATCAACACCTTGAATTGGGTTTAGATGGAAAGTCTGGTGAAGTGAAGGTTAATCAAGCAATGAAAAGATGTATTCTTAATGTACCTTGAATTGTATCCATATTAAAGCTCTTTTCTAATCAATTGTTGGGAATGATCAACAAATTATTATTGATCAGTTGTTTGAAGGAATAGCAAATCATGATGATTATCAATCAACACTCCATTCATCAAATCGCTTTTCCGGCTCAACGTTGTGAATTAATTTGCTGATCAAATGATTAAGCTTCACTTTACTTGATTCATCCTTACTTGTTGATCGTCATCAGTCATTGATAAACTCTGGTTTTGTTTAACCTAAACTCTGTTTGTTATTTAACATTATACAACCAGGGCGAGTTAGTGAGCCTTAACATTAACCTTTTCTTCTTGTTTCCAATAACCATTGGTTTCCTTTGTTTAACATAATTGTTATTGAACCTTTTTGTTTTTGTTTTTTGATTAACTTTTATATTAACAATGTTGACTAAGAAACTTAATCCAGAATCAGGAAGCTCTGATTATGAGCTGGATGAATTGGAGCCAAGAGACAAAATGTTTCCAATTATCCCTCGAATGGGATCCGTTTTTATGCAAGTGACTAGTTTGCTCTTTAGCTTTTTCTTTTTCGCGCTCATTGTTATACTTCTGCACCAATATCACATGGATAATGATCATCGTCTGCCAGCTTTATACAACTCAACGGCTAAACCTGATTTATTAACAACTATTTTACCATTACCGACAACAACTCTTGTTGATGGTGTTTCCCTTAATCAATCAATTCACTAACCATCAAATTCAGTAAGATTCATCAACCAGAAATGGTCATTTTCATCAAACAGTCTTTTACCGAGGTAAGAATAGCTTTTCCTTTTGTTTCCATTTCATGCTTTTAACAGTTTATAATTGAGCAAAGTGAACACATTATCGACTCTGTAAAATTTAAACTGTGCATTTTAATTAATCTATTTAATTGATTTAACTAGTCATCTAACCGTATTATACACCTTTCTATTTTTTAATAGGCTTGAAATTTTGAAATCAATTTGTGCCTGATATTAGTGAAAAGCAAAGCAGAACTCCCCATTTTAAAGTTGATACATTTACAAGGTGTAATTTAATTGTGCTTATCATGTTAAAGGAATGCTGATATAACAAGGGTAACGACCATGTTTGATGGCGAAAGTTTGAAAAACGTCGTTTAATGGCTGTAAAGTGTTGAGTTGAAAAGGAAAACCAATAAACCAGAGATAGGCAAATGAGACGATCTACATGCTAATGACCACACATTAGGAGGTTAAAGATTTTGCCTTGCGAAAAGACTTTGACTTGTAAATTATTCAAGTTGGTCACAAGTCTTTGCCGTTTTTTGCCCTTCTCCTCTCAACGCCATTTTCTTGGTAATTAATCAATTGCTTTGGATTGTGATGGCTACCATACATAATGCGTCAAATAACTTATCTTTTGGTTTATGCGTTTGGATACATCAAGTGAAAAGAACCACAAAGACAAAAGGAAAGAAGAAACAAGGAGTCAAGTTTTTGGTCAGTTTTTGAAGATTCCCGTTTGTGCAGCTAAAGGATAACAAAAAATGATAGATTTATATATTTTGCTTCTTATGTTACCAAAAAAGTTGCTCTTTACCATGGTGTAAGCTTACTTTCTCGAGACCGAACAATTTATTATAATATATCCAGTTTCCTGTAGCTTTAACGTTGCTGTTATTAGTATCATTGTTTTTGTTGATTACGATGGTGATGATCATCTTCCACTACATTATCCTACTTTGTGCTTAAAGTTTACTTGATTTGATGGTTTTACGCTTCAGATGATGGATCCTCTGTTAAATAAAGCTCCTAACATGTGAAGATGCATGAAGAAGGTCAGAAGACCAGAAAACCACCAAGAGTCAACAAAATTTCACACAAAATTGCATTTCAAGCCTTAGTCGTTCTCCATCCTCACCGTTACCATTCTTCATCGTCTTCATCATCATCAGCCTTTTCATCTTCATCTTATTCTCGGTCAACTAATCATCTTCTCATACTACTCAAGAAGTTGAAACCACAACATTGTCTCAAAATATTTCCTTTTGTCGTAATGTTGAATGAAAATGTTATTTTGTTTAAGGAGACAAACAAAACGTTAAAAGTAATTGTTGGTTACCACAAGAATTGTTTTATGGTTTAATTATTAACAATGAATATTCCTTGTTAACCAATTTAATTGACTTTACTGTTTATTAACCACAAATATTTGTCAACTTTCTAATTACTATTGTAATTACGTAGTATTTAACTTGCTCAACATTATCTTTGTTTATTCATCATGTTAAATAATTTTCTCTTTTCTCTCATTTTTAACAGATTTACATCATCTTTTACAAGCTTCCGTTTATAATCGCAATTTTAAGTCAGCTTTCCAAGAATCTGTAAAATTAAAAATTACAACTAAAAATTGCATTTTTGTGGTAAATCGTCCTTTTCTTTGATTGTATATTTTATCTCACACGCATTCAATTAACTTAACTCTTTCCAAGGTGCTGTATCAGTCTAATTATTGGTCATTGAAAATTTTACTTCCATATTTGAATTTTATCGGAATCTATTAACAAGTCTCTAAATTCAATCAAAGCAATTTCTGAATGAAATCGCTCAAAATAAATCAAACTCTAAATGTTAGCCGAAAAGACAAGTTAGACAACGTTAAAGAACGTTAGAAAATGAAATATGAACATTTGCCTGTTCATGGACAAGGAAAATAATAGTTATAATAATTGTTAGTTAATTCCAATAATCAATAGTTTTTGGATAGGAGAAATTTAAGTCTAGGAGTCTGAAATTTAAGCAAAATTTAATTTCAGCTTGATGTCTTTTTTAGTGGAAAATCTTATGATAACTCAATTTTATTTATTATTTTACCTGAATTCTCAGTCTCTAGTCAGTAGGTCAAGTTTTGGCTGATTCAAATCAACTTTGCCAACTATGATAACTAAATTAAATTTACAATCGAAAAATTGAAAAAGGCTGCGAAATCAAGGACAACTAATGCCATCTACGTTTACCATAAGGAATTGCATTTGAGTTGACAATTCTTGAGTCTATCGAATCAAATTGATTATTGTGAATATTTTAAATTTATTGTAACTATTTAGTAGATCAATCAAGCTATAATTTAAAATTTCAGTTTCCCTGAGCTGATCAAATAGGTAATTGATTGTTCCGGGTATAAATTGGTTATAATCATGATACTAATTTTCAAAGCTATTGTTTAATGGTGATCAACTTATCTTCATCAAATTCCTTCGAATGTAACAAATCAATTTTATCATGCATTCAATACTCGACTCTAGTGGTTTAGACTCACACAATAAACTGATTAAAGCTGACTATTGATATTATTGCTGGTAAATTTCCAAGCCTTTGTGTTCAACATTGATGATCCCATAATGGGTTTACATGTAATCATAAAAAACTGATTCTTTTCATTTATAGCAAAACGCAATTCGAAGTTTTACCTTATTCTGAGATACAGATTTTTCTTTCAACTTTGGCTAACATTGATTGGCCCAAATTTGAAGACTGCTTTTCATTTGAATTCATATTTGATTGATGCAACAATGATTACGAGCACAAGGCTTGGGAAGAAACTTCATCACATATTTAAACAAGAATGAATTTGCATTAGCCTGATGTTTTGTGAATCATTTAAATGAGATGAAAAGAATCATGCAAATCATTGATTACATTCATGAAGGTTAACATAAATCTCCAATGATATGCGAGATGAATTAACATCTTTAAATGCCAACAATATGTTTTAGCTAAACAGGCTGAGTTAGCTATCAGTCGTGAAAAGATAAATGAAGAAAAATCTGGTAAATATTAGTGTGAGATGCTAATAGCATGGCTTCAGTATATTTGATTCATGGTCCACATGAATCTGAAAAAGTTTGAGATAAAAATACAAGTAACAATTGAAACAAAGCAAAAGAATTGTTACAATTTTTCGATTCGAGGAAAATTGATGAGCTTGGGAATCTGGATTTATCCTGGTAAATATGATTACCTTGAAATGATCAAATTGGGCTCACATTAAATGAGCCACTTGTTTGTCTGAGTTTGAAAGAACCTTAATCAACAAATTAACTCAATTGAAATAACAAAACTTGAAAAGTTTCTTGATTTGCAAAAGTTGGCAAATCGCATCAACAGATGTCGCACTAGAACTTAAAAGTTAACATTTTGTGATTTTCTTACAGTTTAGTGAATTAAATTTAATTCAGTTATTATAAAATGAGCTTTTTGCTTTTATTTGTGTTCCCTTGTGTCGTTTATTTTATTAATGCGCTATTTCATTACAAAAAATAGCCATTTGAAAAATGAAACTAATAACAATCAAAAAACAAACCCAAGTCTGAAACAAATGTTCTGAAGATTGCTTGTCAAGTTAATTTCAAATGGACTGTAATTGTAAAGGGAAAATTGTTTTGTCTCTACACTTGAACTACCTAAGCTGATTCAAGATGAAATGGGACGATCTTTCTAGTCAAAGAATTAATGGTGAAATTGATAAAAGTGTGAAAAATTAACCTGGAAACAAATCAGGAGCTTTGTTGAATTTTAATTGACACAAATTAATGTAGTAATTATTGCTTTATTTAGTTTTCATATAGAAATAAAATTCTTAACTGATCACAGAAAGGATAAATCTATGTTATTTCATTTAGTGCTTAGTTTACATTCCTTTTCAGTTGCACTTTTCCAGCATTTGTTACTTTTTTGGGTTTTTTTTGTTTCACTTCCCCTCAAACATGTACCTTATTATAAAGTGTATTTACCTTCAGTGTACCTGGTGGATCTGCTCTTCTTAGTCAGATCCTTTTGAGAGAAACCTATTCCTTTTCCTGTAACCAGGTGAAACATTAAACATGACTCGTTATGCATAAATGCTGGATACTTTTGTATTCAATACTTCTTAAACTCTTGCTTGATCGTAACTTTATAACTTTCTTTTAGTTTTCCTTTTTTGGCATTCAAGTGATGCTTTGTTCATTTACAAATAATATTAATCGATAATAAAGAATCAATTGCTAACTGGCTAAACCAAAAATGTAACAAAGCTTCAAATATTACCAGCTGAATGAGCAAAGGGAAACTATCGAGTTCAGATTAATTCGACAATGAACTATGAAAAAGGTTCAAAATGCTGTTGAGTTTCCATTGTCCTGACTAAAGACAACTGTCTAATCAAATGATAAAAGAAGAACAGAAAAGTAAAAATGAAGAGTAAATCTGCATCTGAATTCTGAATCATTTGCAACACCCAATATGAACTAAAGTGGAAGCAAAGCATCGCTTTAGGTAACACCATAACTTTCATTGGTTATGGACTGAAATGATGAACACAAAATATAATACTAAATAGATTGTTATTCATCGATAACTGTCCAAGTTGTCAAAATGTCTTTTCATTGTCTTTAACCTTTTACAGTTAAAGTTGTCCATTTGAGATATTATTAACATAACCAGAATCGCGAAAAGTGCTATTCCAATATACAATTAAATGTACTTCAATATTGACTATTAAATGCAATATTTAGCATGGATTGAGTAATGAAACCAATTATAAATCTTTGATCAATTATCAAATGAAATGAAATTCAAAGCTGATTAAACAAAAAGTATTTCAAGTTGTATTTGAAGGCGTGATCAGAGGAGGTTCAGGGAGTGGATAAGATCGATTAATTTAAGCTCAATCACTTAATCATCACCATAAGTACCATCATCCACATCAGCCCATATCAATTTATCATTGATCTTAGTACAAGAGATAAACACTAATTTAATCATTAACCATTGAAAGATATAACAAGAATGACAAAAGGCCAACCAACCTAAAATAACCAGAAAAATCATTAAATTAGATGAGCATTAAACATCCACAGATTCCGTTGATGAAACCCAAACCAGAATCGAAACCAAGACAAATCGTAAACCATTTGAATAAAATTCATTTCAGATTCCAAGCCAATGAATAGGAGAAGCAAAAACACAATGAAAATGCAATAATCAGAACCTTGAGCAAAGGCATTGAAGGCGACTCACAACTAAAAAACAATTTCTAGATTCTGTCTTATCCTTGATTTTTTTGTTCCTAACTTGTGAACCATTTAAATTGTTGTAAATTGAATCACCTTTTACCAATTTAAAAATGATGATAACGATGGTGATGATGAAAGATAAAAGATGAACAAGAGAAGCGAAAAAAACAAGATGATCCTGAAAATTAAATTGATACTAAGTTATAGACGGAATGATGACTGGGCGTGATACAGATAGGAACCTTTATCCTTATCATTATATCAATTTCATTTTTCATGGGCCAATGTTTTGTTCAATTCAATTTCTTATCATTATCAATGGAATCAGACAAAACTTTCTTTTTTCTCAACCATTCTTCTTCTTATTCTTCTGTTGAAAAATTTACCTTGATTTTTGCCTCTTTTCATCTTCT